CTGGGCTGAGGGGACCCCCTCCTCACAAGTGCATGGATTTTGTGCACGGGTCCTCTAGTTATTTGATAATATAGTATATTGGACCTGGGAAGAGTTCTGTGGAATGCCCACTTCCCTAGTCATTCTGCGTTAGTGTTTCTTTATAACAGTAGATAGATTTGCAAGTGCAATCTGTTGACTGAATTAAGACATTGAAAAGATTCTATGCCTGAGGTAATTTGGATGATAGTTTTTTAGTTGCTAGACATTTCTTTTTATTAATACAGCTCATTTTAATATTCTGTTTCCTTTTATTAAGAGTAATAATCTATTATGTTTAAAGTACAATTATTCACAATCACTGATTTTCTTAAAGATGGAGACAATTCCTGGATCTTATTAGTACATTTATTTTGCTGAAAGTGAGCTGATTAATGTGGTAGAGCTGGGAAGTAAGAATCCTATTTTGGGTTGGGCTGGTGGGACAGAGCATTATTTTAATTTCTGAGGCCTATATAAATCTGGGTTAATCTCAATAGTATATTGGTGCCGTTTCCATTACAATGAAGGCTTACCAACATGTAAGCACAAATTACTTGTGGAATAAACTTCTGTGCTTCCCTGGGGGCAAATTACTGTGATTTGCCCTGTTTGGGGCTAGCTGTGCAGTGTGCTGAGTGCTCTGCAAATGGCAGGGTTATTGGTGGTTTCCATTGTGATCAGAGCAGGTGCTTGTTATGATAACTGTTCTGGGTATGATGGGATATCGACCCCTCAGGTCAGACCTGCAATAAAACTAAAACTGCTTTGTTAGAATGCCCTGAAACAGAAGATATTCTAGGTGTTTGAAACTGTCACCATAAGATACAATGCATTCAATTTAGCAGTAGAATAAATGTAAGGTCCAAAAAGTGAAATATTAACAGAAAATAAATCTGTAATGTTAGAATGTCTGAGCAGCATTTACAAACTACAAATTGGCATTTACAAGTTGGCATCCTCCTCCTATATAATAAAAGGGTAATATGCAAATTGACCCTAATGGCAGAACAACCAGTCGTTCTGACACGCATTACCACCTGGGGGCAGGTGCTCAATGCAGGAGCTGCCCTGGTGGTCAGTGCACTGCTCAGTGAGAAGCCAGCTATGGCGGCCAGCACAGTGGCGGTGGCGGGAGCCTCTCCTGCCTGTGTGGCAGTGCCAAGCATATCCAACTGACTGCTTAGGCCCCTCCTCACTGGGCTCCGGGCTGCCAGAGGGATGTCTGACTGCCAGCTTAGGCCATACCCCCCAGGGAGCGGGCCTAAGCTGGCAGGTGGACATCCCCTGAGCGTTCCCAGACTGTGAGGGGGCACAGGCTGGGCTGAGTGCCCCCCCCCCCCAGTGCATGAATTTTCAATATTTTCATTTGAAGGAGTGAAAGTTAGGTTAACAATGAAGCTCAAAATTGGACCTCGTCTGACAAGAATTTATGCCTTTTCTACCACATCACGTCATGTCACAGAGGATCTTCTTACTGCCCCCTTATAGGCCATTTTATTTCTGTCAGGTTGGTGTTGATGCCTCCTCTTTTACTTCTGAACACAAGTCGTCTCTTTTTCTTAATCAGTCTGGATACTCTTTGTCAATTCTGTTGATCTTTTCAAAGAACCAACTTACTGTTGTGTTTTCTCTGTTTCACTCTGTAATCTGCATTACTTCCTTCCCTCCGCTTGCTTAGATTTATATTTGCTCTTCCTTTTCCGGTTTCTTAAGGTAGGTTATGTTATTGACTTGTGATTCCCCCACTTTTGAGGTAGGTGTTTACAGCTATAAATTTCCCTCCAAGCACTGCGTGAGCTGCATCTTGTACGCTTGGGTGTGTTATGTCTTCATCTTCATTCATCTCCAAACATTTTCTGATTTCCTTTGTGACTTCTCTGCCTATTGGCAGTTTAAGAGTCTGCGGCCAATTTCTACACATTTGTGAATTTTCCAAACTGCTTTCTGTTGTCATTTTCTAATGTTATTTCATTATGGTTGCAGAACAAATTTTGTACGATTTAAATCCTTTTAAAGGATTGTTTTAGGGCCTGACATATGGTCTGTCCTGGAGAATGGTCCATGTGTACTTGAGAAAAATGTATCTTCTGCTGTTGTTGCATGGAGTTTTCTTTAAAATGTCTTTATAGTGTCAGTTACGCCTTCTTTTCCTTGTTGGCACTCTGTGTAGTTCTGTTTATTATTGAAAGTGAGGTATTAAAGCCTTCAACAATCATTGTTGAATTGTCTGTGTTCTCAGTTAAGTTTTTTCTTTATATAATCCTCACCAGAGGATATGTTTGTTTGTCTTTTAATCTATTTGTAATTCCATAAGTAACATATAAATACACTATATATAGAGAGAGACATTGATGTGAGAGAGAAACATCGATCTTTTGCCTCCCATTCCTGCCCCAATGGAGGTTTGAACCGGGAACCTAGGTAATGTGCCCTGATCGGGAGTCGAACCCACAACCTTTTGGTGCACGGATGACACTCCAACCAATGGAGCCACCCCATCAGGGGCATCAGTTTAGTTAATTTGTGCTTCATATATTTTAGGGCTTTCATTCTATGTTTTAAAGAGGAAATTTTTTAAAAAATATATATTTTATTGATTTTGTACTGAGAGGAAGGGAGAGAGAGAGAGAGAGAGTTAGAAACATTAATGAGAGAGAGTCATCGATCAGCTGCCTCTTGCACACCCCCTACTGGGGATATGCCCGCAACCAAGGTACATGCCCTTGCCCGGAATCGAACCCGGGACCTTTCAGTCCCCAAGCCGACGCTCTATCCACAGAGCCAAACCGGTTTTGGCGATTAAAGAGGAAATTTGAATAATTAACTTTTATGTGCTTTTTATATTCAAGTATTAATTCCTTGTGAAAAGTTCTGGGGTGTGGATTAGAGGATGTTTACAAATGATTACTACACCTGTGAGCTTCCAAACCAGACTGCAGTGTTCGTTATGGGGAAGAAGATTTAAAGTGCTTTTTCTTTTTCTTTTCTTTTTTTTTTAAGTTTTTATCTTTCTTTTTTCTTTTTTTTTTCTTTTTAAAAATATATTTTATTGATTTTGTACAGAGAGGAAGGGAGAGGGATAGAGAGTTAGAAACATCGATGAGAGAGAGTCATCGACCAGCTGCCTCTTGCACACCCCCAACTGGGGATGTGCCCGCAACCAAGGTACATGCCCTTGACCGGAATCGAAGCCGGGTTCTCCAGTCCCCAAGCTGACGCTCTATCCATTGAGCCAAACCAGTTTCGGCTTAAAGTGCTTTTTCAAAAGGTTATTTTCTTTTCCTCAAAATCTCAACCACCATTTTTGTAGAAATAGGAAAATCTACCCAAAAATTCATATGGAATTTCAAACAATCTTGAAAACGAATGGTTAGAGGTCTCACACTTTCCGACTTCGACACTCACCATACCGCTGCAGTAATCAGTGTGAGGCTGGCATGAAGACAGACAGACCAGGAATAGAACGGAGCCCAGAAATTAACCCTTGCATGTATGTTCAGGTGACATTGGGCCAGGGCACCAAGACCATTTAATGGGATAAAGATAGTCTTCCCAACAAATGGTGCCAGGAAAGCTGGATGTCCAGTTGGACCCTTACTGCACACCGTATACAAGTAGTGGCTTAAAATGGATCAAAGACCTAAAAATCAGCAAAAGCTATGAAACTCTTAGAAGAAAACAGAGCATAAGCTTGATGACTTTGGATCTGGCTATGATTTCTTGGATCTGACACCAAAGCACAGGCGGTAAAAGTAAACTGTACTACATAGAAAGCCAAAAACTTAGTGCATCAAGGACACTATCAATAGAGCTGAAAGGCAATTCACAGAGTGGGAAAAATGTTTACGAGACATATCTGAAAAGGGATTAACATCCAGAATAAATGAAGCACTTCTGTAACAGCAATATCCAAACAAACAACTTGATTAAAGATGAGCAGGGCTGAAACCGGTTTGGCTCGGTGGATAGAGCGTCGGCCTGCGGAATGAAGAGTCCCAGGTTCAATACCAGTCAAGGACATGAACCTTGGTTGCGGGCACATCCCCAGTAGGGGGCGAGCAAGAAGCAGCTGATCCATGTTTCTAACTCTCTATCCCTCTCTCTTCCTCTCTGTAAAAAATAAATATATTAAAAGAAGAAAGAAAAAAAAAGATGAGCAGGCGACTTGAACACACATTTCTCCAAAGAAGATACACCAAGAAGCATATGAAAAGAAGCTCACCATCACTAATCATTAGGAAAATACAAATAAAAATCCAACGAGATACCACTTTACACCTATTAGGGTGGCTGTTACTAAAAAAAATACCACTGTACCAGTTAATGCGGATTTTTTTCAATAGATAGAGTTACACATATGTTTATTTATATGCAATTTGATATGTACTAGTATGCTGTTTTGTACTGACAGCAAGCTTTAAAACTTCATATGTCAAATTAGTTTTAATTCACCCACGTCTCCAGACAGCCTTCTTGAGGAGGGCGAGGAAAGAGTGAGATCCTGGGGTTTTAGCGAAGGGTAAGAAAAAAAGCAGGGGGTGGGGAAATATATATATATATGCAGAATCACTAGTCTTTTAAAGTTCATTTTAGAAATGATACTGACCAAACCAGCTATGGTTTGTACACTTTTTAAGAAGTTTTTGTCGCCGGGACTGGTTTGGCTCAATGGATAGAGCGTCGGCTTGGGGACTGAAGGGTCCCGGGTTCGATTCCAGTCAAGGGCATGTACCTTGGTTGTGGGCATATCCCCAGTAGGGGGTGTGCAAGAGGCAGCTGATCGATGACTCTCTCTCATCAATGTTTCTAACTCTATTTCTCTCCCTTCCTCTCTGTACAAAATCAATAAAATATATATATTTTTTTTAAAAAAGAAGATTTTGTCAAAGGCACTAGCAGGCCTGATTGCCTCCCATTGTACTAGCTTTAACGCAGAACACTGGCACGCTGTAACTTTTGTTCCGTGTTTCTGTTTGCAGCGTCTCCAACTGCCTTTCTTGAAGAGAAAATGGCCTTCGAGGGATATCAGAACAACCAGAACTGGCCAGAAAACACAAACTTCTACTTTGAACCTGAGCAAGGGGTACATCCTATCCAGACTGGTAAGTGCAGCTTGCCCGTGGCTCTGACTGTGAACTGGCATCAGCATGGAAAAGCCACACCCACCACCCAGACCCAACATGTCAGCCTAAATAGAGCGCGTGAGGTGCGAGCCACGTGCCACGCAGGCCCCGGCACGGAGGTGGTCCTCTTCCTCCCTGTGCCTCTCTGCCACGGCACCTGCTCTCTGGCTCGCTCCCCTGCAAAACCTGTTCTGAATAAAGGAACTGAAATTCACGTTCATTGGATTTAATTCTTCCAAAGGAACTATTACAGTAATATCACAGTGTTTCCTTCTCATTGCAGCCATTGGGTGGCTCTGGTTAACAAAATATACAGTTCCACAGCTCCATGCTGTGTGTTCACACCCGAGGCAGGTCTCTACCCACCAGTCACCATTTTAAAAAAAATACAGTTTTTATTGATTATTTTACGGAGAGGGAGATGGATAGAGAGTTAGAAACATCGATGAGAGAGAAACATCGATCAGCTGCCTCTTGCACACCCCCCGCTGGGGATGTGCGTGCAACCAAGGTACATGCCCTTGACTGGAATCAAACCTGGGACCCCTCAGTCCGCAGGCCGACGCTCTATCCGCTGAGCCACACCGGTTAGGGCCATCAGTCACCATTTAACAGCACCGTTTGATGAGTGCCTATTTTGCGCCAAGCATAGAGCTATCGGGTCTAGTAATAATTAATGTCGTTTTTAAACATTCGTTTAAAATCTTGCTTGGCGTTGACTTGTATTGACATAACCTTCAAACACGTGGTATCTACAGAACGTGTGAAGTGCAATTAACAAGTTTTGCTTGAAAAAGTTTGTGTTTGGTTTGGTTTTTGTTGCAAAACTAGGGCTAAGAAGATGGCGGATGAAGAGCATATTCGGCACTGCATGCTTTAGGAGTTCCAATTAGGAAGAAAAGCAAGTGAGGCTGCAAAAAACATCTGTAGTGCTCTTGGTCAAGATGCAGTTAGCGCCAGAAAATGCCAGCGTTGGTTTGAGAAATTTCGCGAGGGAAATTTTTCGTTAGATGACAAGAGTGGTCGAGGCCGTGTGTCCAATTTTGATCAAGAAGCTCTTCAAGCTTTTTTGGTGCAAAATCCTCAAATTACCCAACAAGAGCTTGCAACAACTTTAAATTGTTCACAAAAAACAATTTCCAATCAATTGCGTGCACTTGGCAAAGTCCAAAAGTTTGGAAAATGGGTTCCTCATGAGTTGACCAACAACAACCGTAATCAAAGAGTCACAATTTGCAGTTCGCTCCTCTCTCGTCAAAACTGTTTGCCGTTTTTAGAGCAAATTGTTACCGGAGATGAAAAATGGGTGCTGTATGTTAATTTGAAAAGGCGGCCTCAATGGTTGGACAAAAATGAGGCTCCGCAGCCCACGCCAAAACCTGACTTGCATGCGAAAAAAGTGATGTTGTGTGTTTGGTGGAATTTTAAAGGAATTCTTCATTATGAACTTTTACCATCTAACCAAACCATTACAAGTGCAGTGTATAGTGCCCAATTGGAAAGGTTAGCCCAAGCTTTAAGAGAAAAAGAACCCGCGCTGATTAATCGGAAGGGCGTAATTCTTCACCACGATAACGCACGACCGCATACTGCAAGAATCAACTGCTGAAAAACTGCGCCAGTTGGAATGGGAAGTTCTCCCTCAACCTGCATATTCTCCTGATATTGCCCCTTCCGATTACCATTTGTTTCGTTCTTTGCAAAACTTTCTTCTTGGAAAAAAATTTAATAATGAAGAATGCCTCAAAAATGCATTGACCGAATTTTTTGCATCAAAATCACAAGAATTTTACAACAGAGGGATTAAAATGCTTCCTGAGCATTGGGCACAAGTAGTAGAAAACAACGGCAACTATATTGCTGATTAAATTTTGTTGTATTGTTTAAATAAATTCGATTTAAAAAAGTATCAGAAAACGACATTAATTATTACTAGACCTAATATATAGCCTTTACATGTAGATTATACGTGTTTCTTACATTACTCTGCCAAATATATATTATCCCCTTTGACAGAAAGAAAAACCAAGATTCACACCCACGTCCAATAAAATTCCAAATAATCATGGAGTCAGAAGCGTGTCTGAGTGGGAAGCGGGGAGGACGGGCCTCCACGTGGCAGCCTCAGTGGCTCCAGATCCGAGTTACCCGGCTGAGAGCTCACGGTGTTTCCACCGAGATGCGGCTTATTTATTTATTTACTTATTGCCATTGGTCTCATAAGGGGGGCACACTGCTGGTTTCTAATTAGTGACTATTTATTGATTTCTTATCATGTGCAGTGACATTATCTCAATTTACTTAACTTCCTGTGACAACACACGGATAGCTGGTCAGCACTCACCGTGCGGTGTCAGGCTGCTGTCTGTGGCAGTGCCCTGCGTTGAGTCTTGAACCCTCTTTACCAGATCCCTTCCGGATGCCCTGTGGTGACGGCCTGGAAGACCTGCTCTTCCTCCCCCGCGGAGCCAGCCACGCCCCCGCACCGACACAGTGGAGCAGCCCTGGGACAGACAGCGGTACGGCTTCTCCAGGGGCTGCTTCTCACTGGAGGCGGTTAATGTGGTCTTTCCCGTCACGTGACGCTAATGAGGCAAAGCGTGCGTGGGGCTCTGGCTGGGACAGGGCACTTCAGACCAATCCCAGGAGAGATTGGGCGCTCTGGGCTGCTCACCTCCTGTGTGGGATCTTGAATTCTACATCCTACGGCCAGATTCTGTGTCCACATTTTACCGCCTTATTCAATGGCCTTGGGCGAGTTTTGTTTATCTTTAACATTAGTTTCTTTTATCTAATAATGGGACCAACAGTAGTTCCTACATTAAAGATGAGCTAAGATAAAATAAAATTAAAAGTATTTTACATATTGCCCATTACATAATAAACATTAAACAGATCTTAGCTATTAATTGGGAGTATCCTCATTTATTGGTGCTGCGTAACTTTTAAACAAAACTTTACTTCTACTCAGCTTGGGTTTCCAGCTGGACTATTCAACAGAAAGACAGATGGACAGAGAAGAATAGCTCATTAATGCATGTAGCATTCATCATGCAGGAGAAAAGCAATCAAGGTGGTTTCTTAGAACTTCTCTTTCTGGAGCATCTTCAGTAAGAACGTTAAGTTTGTAGAGAAATGACAGGTCAAGGGCCGCAGTTTCAGCCTGAAGAGCGGCAGCCTGAGGGAAGTGTGCGGGAGGACTCTGGGTCTGTTTGCAGGTTGCTCTGCTGCCCTCTCTGGGCTGCTAAGCTCAATCTCAGTGGAAGGAGGGTTTATTCCCACCCTGAGGCAGAAATGGGGGAGCCTTTTCTACGTGTGCTGTTTCTTAATTGCCTTCAACTCAAAATAATTTTTCAGTCAAAAAGGCATATTTTGGGATGACATATTCTGGTTCCCTTCAATGCCCAGCATCAATAGGACCCACTTCGAACAATGCTTATCATTCTGTATTTGTAAGGTTCTGTCTCATTAGGTTTTTCTTTGGACTCTTGGAAGAAGGATGTCAAATGAGTTGACTTTGATGTTATCGGTCTAGTCTCCTGAGACTTAGATTTGGCTTGGATTCTGTGTTTCATAGTTCCCTAGTTAGTGAGTCCTTTAGATGCAGGGACTTTTTTCTTTACAGCATCTTTCTTTTCTCCTCTTATGCTCCCTCACGCTTTCCCAGTGTACACCCCTGTACTCCACACTCAGCCCAAACAGACCTGGAACAGATCTGCACCCTGTTGTTTGTCCTCTCATTCCCATGAGTAAGACTCCAGGCGCCCTGCTGCTCCCTCTCAGGCCTAACTCTCTTGCTGTCCCGGCCCCTCTGTCCGCTCTGACCGGCTCTCCGCTGCTGACACGCAGGCTGTGCAGCACTTATACCAGACTGATCCCAGGAACGTCCTGTGCTGTTGGCCTCTCCACACTGTTATTTCGCTCAGTGTTCTCCATCCTTGGAATTGATTCCTGTCTCCTCTCTTCTTGCTCTTGCTTCTCCTCCGAAGCTTCTGTGACTCTCCGGTCCTCATGGTTGATTTTACTCTTACCACGCCTCCTTCGTACTGTATCTCCGGTATTATTTGATCTATGTCCAAGATCTTGCCTCTCTAGCTACATTGTGATAATCTTGATAGCAAGGGGTTATTAAATACACTATTAAGTCTGGCAGTAGACAGCACAATAATAATCTTTTTTTTAAATATATTTTTTTGATTTTTTACAGAGAGGAAGGGAGAGGGATAGAGAATTAGAAACATCGATGAGAGAGAAACATCGATCAGCTGCCTCCTGCACAACCCCCACAAGGGATGTGCTCGCAACCAAGGTACATGCCCTTGACCGGAATCGAACCCGGGACCTCTCAATCCGCAGACCAACGCTCTATCCACTGAGCCAAACCGGTTTCGGCACAATAATAATCTTTTGACATCCATTTTTTAATAATTTACAAAGCATTTCCACAGGATTGTCCCTAACATTGGAAAAGGAGGTGTTAATCTCGGTTTATGGGTGAGAAAGTTAAGACCCACAGTTCCTTAGTATCCGTTACGTCGTGTCGGTGGTGCTGTGACTCTTTGAAATGCACTCTGGGAGGTTGACTCCCAGCATGCCAGGGAATGGCGGCAGCACAGCCTGCTGACTAGCCAGAGACCTGGAGACCGGCCCCAGGGTTTGCCGCAGGACTCTGCTTTGTCGCCATGGCCCCAGGTCTGCGTGCTGTCCAGCATATGAAGCTTGCTTCTACATCAGAGGCCTCCTCCCCCGCGCTGACATGTGTGTTTGTGTTCCACTATCAGGTCATCTTCTCCGAGACACATTTACTCCTGAAGCGGTGGTACCTCAGGGCTGGCCTGTGGAAGCCCCCAACCTGTCCCCCGTGGGGGTCTTCATTCCCCCAGGGGCCGCGCCGCCGCTGCAGCCCGCAGCAGGTACGTCTCAGCGCCCTCTTCATCGATAATCAGTGTAAAGCATCACACGTATTTTTTAGCAACATACAACAGCATCGAAAAAAATGTCAGAATTGTCACAGATATTTTTAAACTTGTATTGCTGATTTCACAGCTAGAGGAAGGAAGGTGTAGTTGAGATATAAGACTTTGGATTCATGGGCAAAGAAAATCCCTTTTCATTTGGTGTGGATTTCAAATTCTAGGGTCCCATGTTCCCTTTCTGGCAGTAATTATATGTCTGCATTGTTTTTTTAAACACTGGGTGTTTTTTTTCTTCTTTGCCTTTTCTCCTCCATTGTCTGTTCTCCCAATAGCTGGTCTTTTACACGTTGGGACTGTCAGAGTGGGCACAAACGCGTTAACCTGCCAGCTTCTTGGTCATGTTTGGGGTGTTGGGGTCACAGAAGCAGAGGTTCCTGTGCTCTAAGAAATGAGCTGTGAGTGCAGAGCTCTGAGCAGACTGATGGCTCCTAAACTTCCATGTGTTTCCCTTAGGGCCAGCCGGGGAGGGAGACAGGGCATCGGAAGGAGAGAGGGCATCGGCCAGAGCCCTGGAGCTGATGATGGGCCTGCAGGCCACTGGCATGGCACATCCTGGAGGAACGGAGGTGGCCCTGGCTCAGGACCTGGCACCGGTCGCAGGAACAGAGGTGGCGTTGGCCAGAGACGTGGCATCACCTACCGAAGAAGATGTGTCGTTCGCCAAGAACACGGAACCATCCACCGAGTCAGACATGGCTGTAGACATGGACGTGGTGCTCCCTGTAGATTCCAAGGAAACCGCAGCCAAGGACGGAATGCTATTCAGTGAGACAGAGAGGGCACCTCCCTTCAACGTGGACGTGGCTCCAGCTGAAGGCATGGGCTCACTCACAGAAATGGAGATGGCATTGGCTAAGGACATTGTATCACCCACAGCCAAGGAGTTGGGCTTGTCCTCAGAAACAGAGGTGGCCCCGGGCAAGGATCTGGCTCCGCCCCCGGAAACACAGGTGGCCCCGGGCAAGGACCTGTCTCCGCCCCCAGAAGCACAGGTGGCCGTGGGCAAGGACCTGGCTCTGCCCCCAGAAGCACAGGTGGCCCTGGGCAAGGACCTGGCTCCGTCCCCAGAAGCACAGGTGGCCCTGGGCAAGGACCTGGCTCCGTCCCCAGAAGCACAGGTGGCCCTGGGCAAGGACCTGGCTCCGTCCCCAGAAGCACAGGTGGCCCTGGGCAAGGACCTGGCTCCGCCCCCAGAAGCACAGGTGGCCCCGGGCAAGGACCTGTCTCCGCCCCCAGAAGCACAGGTGGCCCCGGGCAAGGACGTGGCTCCGCCCCCAGAAGCACAGGTGGCCCTGGGCAAGGACCTGGCTCCGCCCCCAGAAGCACAGGTGGCCCTGGGCAAGGATGTGGCTCCGCCCCCAGAAGCACAGGTGGCCCTGGGCAAGGACGTGGCTCCGCCCCCAGAAACAGAGACTCCCCTGGCTAAGGATGTTGTACCACCTTCCGAAGCAGAGGGGGCCCCAGTTCCAGCGAAGGACATGGGAATTGTGCGGACACCAGGAAAACTGAGTGAGGCTTTCCAGGTAGCGTCTCTCCAGGGCGAGGGGCCTTCAGCTGAACCTGCTTCCGTGATCTCACCAGGTATGGCTCACATTTATCCTCAGGTTTCTGTCTTTCGGGGCAGTCTCCATGCCAGATAAATAAACACATCACACACATTCCTCCTCTCCCAGACAGTCTCCTCTCCCTCATCCTCAAGCACCTCTTCATCCTTCTCTCTGCTCACCTAGTGTTTCTTACAGATCAGGAAGCAGTAAGGAGGGATAATCACAGCCTCGCTCCATCTACCTGCCTGCTATGTCTGTGCCCAGACTCTGCCCTCCTGTTACTGGGAGTCAACATCCCTGCCTCTGGTTAAGGCCTCCTCTGTATTGTACTAGATCCCCTCGCCTCTGCTTTTCTTGTGTATTGCTCTGCTCTGGCCAGTCTCTCTCTCAACCCTCACCCAAGGATATGCTTCTGTTGATGTTTTTAGTGAGAGAGGAAGGAGCGGGGAGGAGAGGGAGAAGAGAAACACTGATGTGAAAGAAACATCTATTGGTTGGTTGCCTCCCCCATGTTCCCTGACTGGGGACTGAATCTGCAGCGAGAGATCAGCCCACAGCTGATGGCGCAGGACAAGGCTCCGGCCAAACAGCGCTCAGCCAGGCCTCTCCATCCTGCTCTCAGCAGTGCTTTCCCCGCCACGGCCCCTTCCCGCTGGCATGCAGACATGGGCTACTTCCCTCGTTTTAAAAACCAACACACAAGCCCCTCCATCCCACCTTCCACACCGCCCCCTGCCTGCTGCCCTCACTGCAGCTCCCTCCTCCTCCAGCCTTTCTGCTCCCAGTCTGGAAGGTGGCGAACCAGCTGGAGTCTCTGAAACCTGTGGTCTCTGTTACCTTCAGAACCGGGCACAGCCGGCAGCCAGACGTTCGCCGTGCCAACAGACGAGGCACCTGTGCCAGAGGACTCTGTGCAAAGGAAGCCTTTCAGCGGGCAGCCTCTGGAGCCTTCCACAGAGCCCACAGGTAGGTCAGGGAGTGCAGTGGGCCTGGAACCACTGCCCCGGGTGTGGTGGGTGCGGGGCAGCTGTCCCTGGCACAGGCAGTGGTCAGCAGCACCGTGGTGAGGTCAGTTCTCCTAAATTCTGTCTTGTTTGGGCAGAAAGTCAGCTTGTTGCCTTTCAGTGGTCACCATGCCAACCCAGGACACCAGTGCAGATCAGCTGTCCCCCTTCTGAACGGCCCTAGTTTGCCCGCTGAGAGGGGTACGTTGGTCCGTGTCCCGTAAACACCCATTACCGTGTCACCGCCCGGCACATCTGCGTCGCCTGGGAGCACATCAGAAATGCATGATCTCGGGCTCCAGCTCAGCCTCCCAAGTTTTCCAGACAATTCTCATGTCTTTCCCGGTGAGGGGCACGCTCCCAGAGGCGTCCTCCCTTCAAGTCCGATCACTTAGTGAACTTCACGGTACATGTTCTTCATTGTGAGCCAGAACCATCCATGCCGGACGAGGTGGAGGCCGGGACTGTGACTCACTCACTCACAGTCCCAGAGCTTTGCACACTGAAGGAGCTAGCACCAACAAGGAGCAAAATTAAGTTTGGGTTTTTTAAAAAATGTCGTTTTAGTGACTCAGCATATCAATCGAGATTTATCAAGTTCTTAATATGTACAAAGCACAGCATGCTCCGGCAGAGAGCGAAGGCTGGCCCTGGCCCTCCCGTTGTTACATCACAGTCTGGATGGAGAGGATTTCCAGACATGAGCACGAGACCAAAGATTTATGTAATTGAATTGGTTTAAGGGATGGCACCAAATGCTAGTAGTACTGGTTAACTGCCAAGTTAAATGTTATAAACGCTTAGGGTAAACAAGCCTGGCAGTTTTTCTGAGAGAAGCAGTTATTGATCTGAGGCATTAAACGAAGGGTGAGATTTGGAGGGACTGGGTGGGTGAGAAAAAGGAGATGCTGTGTAGTGTTTGCTCCGCTCTGGTCCGGGCCTTTCCAGGACTCGGGTCCTCGCAGCCTGTGGTGGAGGCAGGCGCCGGAGCAGTGACTTCCTGGAACACTCCCAGTGGTGCTCCTTCCTGGGCTGCTGGCACTAGGTGTAGTTCTCTGACTTTGGAGGAAGTACATTTGAGAACCGAAATTGAAACCTAACACATTTGTCTTTTGAAGTAGGAGGTTCTGGTTCTGGAACGATGAGGTTATTTCTCTGGTCCAAATACGAATTCAGTATTTTTCTTTTCCTTTTCTTCCTCTTTTTCTCCTTTAGTAGGATAAGCCTGGTCTGTTTCCCAGAATTTACCTGGTTAGCTTGATAACTGTTTAGTATAATATTGGTGACAGGTTCTTAGAATTACAAATTCTGTCCAACATCATATGTATTTTATTCAATGAATAAATAAATGTCACCAAAAAGAAACAGGAGCTTACCACTTTATTGCAGAATTGGGAATTATGGGCCTCATAAAAATAATGACAAATATAAACAAGTATCAGCTGAGAGTCATAGGCAGTAAATGCTTATTCTAGGGGTTAGGAAATCTCTGAATGTCTTTTCTCCAGTTTTAAATACTTTGTAAATGTGTTTGAAAAAATATTTAAGATGATGATCTTTGTTAATATTTGCTAATCCCAGTTAAAAGTGAGAAATGTTTCAGAAAAGAAAACACAACTTTTCCTAAATGAATTATTATGTGGATTGGTATAAATAGACTACTTAAATGAGCCAATAAGTGGACTTCTTGAAGGAGCGATAACAAGGAGTTTTCTGTTTGGAATCTTGGCCATCTCCGTGTATTGCAGGTGCCCTTCCCTCACGAGCCAAGCAAGCGTGCAGACCCCGGGACCGAAGGGCTGCCCGGCCCCGGCCTGCCCGGGCTCCTCCCGAGCTGCTGGGAGGCTCTTCACGGAAGACTCTCGATCCCGGGCTGGGCCCCTGCTCGGTGCCTGAGGCGGGCGGGGGCTCTGGCTCGTTCTCCTGTGTGGAGCCTGGGAGCCCAAGGAAAGCCCCTCCCCGGGACCTCCTTGAAACACAGAGGGACGCTGGCAGGGAGGCCTGGGATGGAGACAGCACAGCAATGATGGCGAAGAAGAAGAAGAAGAAACCAAAGCAAAAGAGATATTCTCAGCCCCGGGCTGGGGGGCCTTGGGATGAAGACAGCACAAAAGAGGCTGACGGCCACCCCTCCGCAGCTGACGCCCAGAAACCGGGTGTTCTCCCCAGCCAGCCTGCCACTGTGGGCGTGAAGTGCGGACTGGCCTCCAGAGAAAGCCCGAGAAGGGACTCTGGGATCGAATCCAGAACAGCCTCCCTGGCAGCGGGGAGCTTTGTCTGGGGAAGCCCCAGTGTTCCTTCCCGTCCTTCGGAAGTGCCCCCTGCAGCCCCAGGAAATGCTCAGCTTGAGCTGAGCACAGAGGCAGAGGTCAAAGGTCACAAGTCAGAACCACAGAGCCAAGGCAGGGACTCCCTGCAGCAAGGTGAGTGCAGACCTCAGACTGCTCCCCGCCTGGCGAGCCCCGGGAGTGAAGGCCAGGCCGCAGGCCCTCTCGGACTAAAAGGGCCCCTGACAGAGGTTTCTGTCCGCAAAACCGAAGTTCCTTTGGAGGTCAGCGCCCAGGAGGACCAAGAGGCTATGGGGCGAGTTTTAAAACCCACAGCAGCCAAAGAATTGCCTAATCCGACACACACTTTGACAGCCAATAACCCACTGGAAAGCAGCCTGAAAGAAGGGAATGATGCAAGGACAATGGCCACGCTGCAGAAGGACAGACAGACAGAGTTCTCTGAAGCAGCTGAGGGTGTGAAAGAACTTAACAAGGAGATGAGCCTCTTAGCTTCGGAGCAGCTGTCCCAGGGCAGGAGTCAGGTTCCTGGGCCCCGGAGTGAACCGCTTAAGAGAGCGGCAGGTGATGGCAAGAGCAGGAAGGGAAGGGGGAGTTCTGGGAAGGCAAAAGCAAGGGCTGAGCTTCCAGACAGCCAGGAGGACGGCAGAGCTGCCCTCCAGCCAGGTGAGCCAGCCCCTGGGACAGACAGAACAGTTGCTGGGGCTGCGAGGGAGGAGCTGAGGCTGCATTCTTCCAAGCAGCCGGGGAGCACGGCTGCTCTCCCTGAGGCAGTGGCCAGGGGGACCCCTAAGGAGACGGACCCTGAGGCAGTGGTCAAGGGGGGGCCTACAGAGACGGACCCTGAGGCAGTGGCCAAGGGGACCCCTAAGGAGACGGACCCTGAGGCAGTGGCCAAGGGGGGGCCTACGGAGACGGACCCTGAGGCAGTGGTCAAGGGGACCCCTAAGGGGTCAGATCCTAAGGCAGTGGTCAAGGGGACCCCTAAGGAGACGGACCATAAGGCAGTGGTCAAGGGGACCCCTAAGGAGACGGACCCTGAGGCAGTGGTCAAGGGGACCCCTAAGGAGACGGACCCTGAGGCAGTGGCCAAGGGGACCCCTAAGGAGACGGACCCTGAGGCAGTGGCCAAGGGGACCCCTAAGGAGACGGACCCTGAGGCAGTGGCCAAGGGGACTCCTAAGGAGACGGACCCTAGCGCAGCAAGCGCTTTGCAGATGCTGATTCCTTTGGAAACTAGGTCAGGCATGCCTCCGCCTTCCGGTGCTGCGGCAGACAGGGGAGCTGTGGCCATCAGTCTGGGTGTCAGTAACCAGAGCAAAGAAGGAAAGTGTCCGTGGATGGATAGCGAGGCAGCTCCCAGGGTTTCTGAAAAGCCTAAAAAAAGAAGCAGTGAAGGCAAAAACAAGAAGTTTAAAAGTAATTATTCTGCACAGCTCGCGAGTGGGGAGAGCAAGGAGGAAGCCCTCAGCCCACCTCTCCCAGGGAGGGAGGGAGGTGCTGGCAGTGCTCCCCCCACGAGTCCCGGGCCTCTGAGCTCACAGACCGTGAAGGCGCCCACAGTGGAGGGAGGTGGCCCACAGGGCAGACATACCGAGGCTCATTCTTTTGAGCTCGGGGCGCTTGGTGGGAACAAAACACACACAGTTAAGGATTCTGCTGTCACCGAAGCAGCTACCGTGATAACAGCTGTGAGCGGCCCCGGCCAAAGCCAGGGGGCAGGGCTGGTTCCCTCAGAGGCCACCCAGGGGCGCCCTGCAGGGAGGGACAGCCCCGGGGAAAGGAGTGGCGATGGGAAAAGCAGACGGGGTGAAAGTAGCTCTTCTGAGGGGTGCGCTGATGCAACAAAAAGACACGTCCCCAGCGGAGCCGCAGGGGACCACAGGGTGGAGGGAAGGGGCCACGCGGGTGAGGACAGGAACGTTACCTGTACCGGCCCCCGAGCGCCCTCAGAGGGCGGGAGCAGGCCAGCCCCTCCCCAGGCTCTGGACTCTACAGCCCCTCGCCCTCGGTTAGAAAAGGGAGGCGAGTCTTTTACCAGCCCCTTGGCAGGAAGTAGGCAAGAGACAGCTCTGGCCCCGGCCTCCGAATTAGTGGGGGGTCATTGCAGCAAAGATGGGGTCCCAGAGCAGGCAAGAGCCAAGGCCGCCCCCGCTGCCCTGCCCCCGTCAGCCGCAGAAGCAGGGCCGCGCCCTGGGGACGGCTGTCCTGAGAAGAGAGGGGAGCTCGCTGGTGCTGGTCCCCGGGAAAGCGAAGCAGGGGGAGAGTCGGAGTCAGTGCCCAGGGGGGCAGCTAAGCATCCAGGAGAGAGAACCACAGAACCAGCCATGGGCCACCAGCCTGCGGTGCCCACGGAAGGCCAGCGCCCGGCCCGCAAGCTCGGAGGCCTCGGGGTGCGTGCCGGTGGGAGCCACGTTCCAGCGTCTGCAGTGGACACACAGAGAGAGGCTGCGGAGGGCTCTGCTTCCTGTCACACTCCCCCCTTCCCGGGAGACAAAGCACAAAAGGCCCCTTTCTGTGAGGACCAGAATGCCGAAGGCAGTTTGAATAAGAAGGTGGATAAGACTCTTTTGACTCCAAACAGTGAAAAGAATGCGTTGGAAGGAATTGGCCTGGCTTCGGAAATGGCGACATTAGCAGATGCGGCCGCGCCAGCGCCAGTGCCAGCACCAGCACCAGCGCCAGCACCAGCACCAGCACTCCAGTCAGGCTGCTCGGCCGGCCAGGCAGGGGGTGAGGCCGAAGTGACTGCTTGCCAGGGCCTCCAGCTCCCACAACCCGAAGAGGCAGCCCCGGAGGCCCCCGAGAGCGCGGCAGCGCAGGCTGAGCCCGCGGCTCCGGGGGCCGGGAAGACGGGAGGAAGGAGAGTGGCGGAGCCGCTGAAAGGCTACATGAGACCCACCAAGGCCCGCGGACTTGCTCCGCCTTCGCCAAAGGAGCAGGAGAGACCCAGGCCCGCCCCGGCCCGCGGTAGGAGCTGCCGCTGTGTGTGCTGTGGCTTTGGTTCCATCAGACTTTAATCTCCTCGTCATCAGTGACTTGGCATGAAAGACTGCAACTTCTAACCGAGTGTCTTCCGCAGCTCACATGCCCGTGTCCAGCTTACAAGGCTGTGACGGGGTTGCATGCCTTTTACCCGGTGAGGGGCCGGAGGTTTAGGTGGAGCTGGATTTCAAACTGAATTGTTAGCAGACAGGAGGCTGTCACCGCCCACTGTCCTTAGTGTTCCGTTTGAAGTGTGCCTTGTGTGTGCAAGGGCTCCAGCCACGGTCGTCAGCGTTGGGTGTGAGGAGGAGGAAGCATTTACATCTGCTGCTGCATGGAGCTTTAGTTGTTAGTGTGTGCAGGCGTATGCAAAAGTAGATTTGCCATTGTGAGTTTGTAAAACAGTTTATTCTTATAATAGTACTTATTGCTACTGCATGATTATTGCATGGTATTAACTCTATGCCTACTGGTGCCCACCCTCGGACTGTCCAGGCTGCTGTCAGGTGAAGCAGAACGGCTGCCAGCTTCGGAGGCGCAGCCGTCCCTGTGCTCCGGAGAGATGGGGAGGGGCCAGCGGGACGCAGCCCCTCACAGTTCGCCGCTGCGCGCCCCTCCCCCACTCCTACCCCCATCCCCCCGCCCCCAACACACACTCTAGAAAAGTGGGGAGATTTATCTAACCCTGAGGTCCCCGAGCCTCGCCTCCAAAAACTGGTTCCTGGCCTTGGCGGTTTCTCAGCCGCCGTCTCCCAGCGTGCAGGATGCGGCTGCTGACTCCAGAGCTGGAGGGCACCTTGGCCTTCACAGCCAGCTCAGCGCTGGGGCTCCGCCCTGGACCATGTGGCCATGCTGTGGGCTTGTTGGGGGAAGCGTGTGCTGTGCGTGCATTTGTCCCCAGTAGGGGGCGCTGCTGTGCCAGTGCAGGATGCTGGAGGTGGTTCTTTCATAAGCTCTTCTCATCTTGCGTGCTTATCCTCTGTTCGCTCTCGTGGCCAATGCAGGGAGCTCTCCAGCGTTGGTTAAGGTGCCAGGCTCTGTCCAGGGCTTCCGTTTAGTTTCTAGATTGCTGCTCGTTCGGCAGGGATGCAGAGGGCACGGAAATGTTCTGAAGCCTGGCCATCTCTTGTTCAGTATCTTCCAAGAAGTGTAGAGAGAGGGTTTGTCTGGTTGGGAAGGAGCAGATGCGGTGGAGCTGTGGGCCTGCTCGGCCAGGCCAGGCTCCGGGACTGTGAGGAGTGGCCCGGGCGAGGGGCTGCCGAGAGGGTGTGGATTCTGGACAAGACGTGTTGTTTCTTCTCTGAACTGTAGAACCTTTCCCCTAACGTGAACGTCGTTATGCACTTTAATAGTGAGGCGCTCTTTGTACTCGTTTGAACAGGAGTACAGTCACATGACACAAAGGGGGACACGGAGATGGAAGCCTCCCCCCCAGGGGCCCACCCATGGGAGCACCGCCTGTGAGGAAGGGCTTCCTGTGGGCGGGGCGGGGACGCTGAGGGTGACTGTGACGGACCGTGCGGGCTGTGGCCCCACAGAACCGCCCCGGAGCCCGGAGAGCTAGTTCGGGCCGGGGCACGTGGGCTCCGAGCGGGGCCGCTGTGGATGCCAGCCACAGCCCTTCTCCGAGGCAGCACGTCTCCTTCCTTCTCTGGCGTCCTGCTCCTGCCCTTCGGAGCCCTCAGCCGGCTGCCCTCGCGGGGGAAACTTCATAAATCCCAAATCCGGACAGTTGCCGGGGCCTCGTCCATAAACGCACGGTGTGCGGCACATGGAAGCGAGGGGAGCTTTAGGACCCGCTGCACTGCAGCTGGGGAGTTCCCTGCCTTCTGCTGCCTTCCCACTCACTCTCTCGCCCCGTGGCTTTCCTCACTTCCCGCTGAAGAGTAGTGAGATTTACTGGGAATTCTGTATGTGCACAACTAAAGAGAAGTTACTGTGTGCTCAGCACTGTCTCATACTGTTTCATTTTGACACTTCTCTTCACCTTATTTCAATGGCAGCATCTAATATTCTCTGACAGGAGTGTGGCACATGTCAGCTGTTCCACTTCAAAAGGTTCTTCCCGTGTTCCCCCCTCCCCCCCTCACTTTTACCCTTTCGTCCTCTGGCTGACAGGTAGCCTTGGAGGAGGCAGAAAACCAGTGACACACTGGCCTCTGGTCTGGGCTGTTGCCAGGATACTGCCTTCCTCAGGCGGCCGAGGCCCTGCTTCTGGGCCCCGTGAGCTGAGCTGGTGCCGGCGGAGGATAGTGGTGGGTGACAGGTGTTTCCATAGTCACTTACTTTTGATTGGTGATGTGGGCTGGCACTGGTGTGGCCTCCATTTCTGTGTCCCCATATAGATTATCTTGGTCAAGGATCACATAAATCAGATCGCTAGCTCCAGTTTTTTTCATTTGTCTGCTGGCATTCCAATTTTGAAAAGATAATCAGGGAGAATCATGATTCCCATGTACTAAGAAATGTTTCTAAAATGTAGTTGAATGTGGATTTAAAGTGTTTTTGCGGGTAAGTAAAGAGAGAGCAGTTTTACAGCCTTCAGCTTTTATGAGTGTCCCAGTCATTGTGACCAGTAGAATTACTGACATGTATTGTCATGATGATTTACAGAAATTGTCTCCCGAGACAGTGACAGGGAACAGCGGGTCCATCTGGAGAGTAGCTTTGTTGCCTAGGTAACGGAGAGGGGATGCAGGGCAGCCCGTGGTGGAGCACATCAAACCCAAAGCCTGCACCCATCTGCCAGTGCCCTGGCGAGATGGGCCCTGCGCTGCGGGAGCCGGCTCCCAGGAGGCTTGGTGCCCAGGAGGCTCGGCGCCTGTCCTCTGGAGGCTGATAAAAGCCTTCAGACCACCTGACCACCGCCTGGGAGGGAAGTCAGGCCCTTTCCTCATCGTTCGCCCGGGGACAGTTGAGATGGGCACCTGGTAGGCGAGCGAAGTGCTGGGCGATGTGGGCACGTGGCTCAGCATCGTGCAGGAGGACTTGCCCCTGGGCCCCGGAGCCTGCGCAGTGGAGCCACGCGCTGGGCTGGGCCCGAAGGCAGCGTGGACAGGGTGGCCCCGGTGGCCCCCGCCCTAGCGCTCCCAGGAAAGGCGCATAGACACACGGTTATGCTGGAGGGAAGTTTTGGGAGTGGGGTTGTTAAAGGAACAGAACTCCAGGGCGGAAAGCTCTTTGGAAAGAAAGGACTTATTGAGGCAAAAGCTCGCCAGAAAGGCCGGCCCTGGGGCAGGAGCCTAAGCCGCAGCAGCCAGAAGGTGGAGCAGGGTGGGGGGCGGGCAGCGTGCTGTGGTCCTGGGGTTGACAGGCACTTAGTACGTTGTTGCCGTGTGTGTGTGTGTGTGTGTGTGTGTGTGTGCACGCGCGCGCGCGCCCCCCAGGCCATGGAGGAGGGTGGCGAAGGCGGAACGGGCGGAGTGCTTGGCGAGCGCTGTCTCACGGAAACAGCGTGCACTGGCTCTGACTGGTTGCAGGTTGTAGTGGGCACACTGTGGTTCTGGGAACGTGGCAAAGAGGGGCAGTGAGGGATGTGAGACCAGGAGGCACCTTAAAGGGCCTCACTTCCCGATGAAGAGACAGGCTGGGTGCCATTGTAGGGCCTGCTCAGAGCTCAGAGATCTTACAACGTGGTCTTCTGACTCCAAGCCAATTATTTCCCCCACAAACCAGAGAGAAAGTGTCAGTCAGTTGAGTGAGTGTGTGCGGGTGCGTGTGCGTGTGCGTGTGCGTTGGGGAAGGGACCCGCGGGGGGATGGGTGAGTTTGTGGACGCACACCTGATTTCTCTAAGGGGTTTTCCTTTGCCTCTGGCATGTCTGGACTGCACTGCAACACCTCCTCCTCAGCAGACTGTCCCTGAGTCTCTTGTTCTCCTCGCCCAGCACTGCCACTGGGCCGCCCCTGCGTGGTGCTGACTGTGAGGGCGAGCAGGGGCCTGTGCTGCGGGGACGTGGGTAAGGGGGGGTGGCCGGAGCGCCGAGGAGGAAGGTGCTCGGAACAGGGGTCCCCGGAGGGACACGCTCTGAGCGGCCGAGGTGCTCTCTGAAGACCAGGCGTCATTTACCCGCCGTGTTCTCTGAAAGCGCTACTGCAAACTCAGTGAGACCATCGCACTGATTGCAAACGGCTCTTAAAACGGCTACCTTCTCCTCTTCTATTCTTGCTGAGCCTTTCGCAGCTCCTGCTCAGTACAAGACGGTGACTCTGAGCAAGACCACTGTGTTCAAGGTGGATGACGCTCTGTCCGTTAGGAACCCTGCCACTGAGAATGTCTGTGGGTCCCTCCGTCCTGAGTGACGCTTCGTACACTCACAGGCCGGGGCAGCAGAGGGCCACACTGCATTAACGGGGGCTCCGGGCTCTGCGGGGCGGGCAAGCCCAGCCACCGACCGCCAGGGTCCTGCCTTTCGGGGGTCAGAGGAGGCTGAACGGCCCACCGTGTTCCCATGGCAACGGCATGCTCCGAGGCTGGAAGGAGCAGGTGGTGCTGAGGGTGGAGACCAGCTGTCTGAGGAACCCGGGGAGCAGGGCTGGTGAAAGGGGAGGGTGTGTTGTCACATGAGCGCCTTGTAACTGGATCCCGTCCCCAAAGCCCTGAGGTCCCAGCCTTCAGCGGACCCTGTGCTGGGCAGCCTCACGCAGAGCTCCCAGGGGGCTCCGTTCCAATCTGTTCTCAAGTGACAGCAACCCACGCTTCCTCTGAGAAATGAATGCCTCCAATTTCCATTTGACATTCGGGGGATGAAGTGAAATGTTGAGCGATTTTGTGGAACCATTGTTAAGGGTTATGGCTGGGGATTAGCAGCTGAATCTGTTTATTTTTAAAACCGTTTGCTGAGGGGGCCGTGCCAGCTAAGGGAGAGCGTGTGCGCACGGATCCACAGCAGTGAGAGCGGGGACCTGCCCTCGGCTCCCCGTGCCTCCGTGCGCGCCTTAGGGCAGCGCTGGCCGGGTGCTGTCCACAGAAATCACGTGGTCGTT